TTCCCTGGGCCCCGCCTCCTCCCGGCTCCGCGTCACAGGGGCTGCCAGCCAGCCTGCAGGGAAGACTGGAGTTCGTGCCCGGCCCTCCCGCCCACGAGCCCGTTGCGGGTGGTTTTTCGCTCTGCCGGGCTTTCACATCCAGCCCCTACCGTTCCATTCAGTTCTGTCGTATCACCTCTGTGTTCTGATTCATGTCATCCTCCGGTGAGACGGGCTTCTCGGTTCTCGGGCACTTCCTGAGAGCCGAGCCGCGGGGCCCTACGGAAGTCGTCTTACTTAGCCTTCGAGAGAGCCCGGGGGACTGGGAGGTGGTGTCCCTGTTTCTCGGGAGCCTGTGAAACCCAGAGGGGCAGAGCCACTGCCCCAAAGTCACACAGCTTTTCAGAAGCCGAGGCAGGTGAATCCAGACTGGATTCAGACCAGCGGCTGGTCTGACCCTCTGGGGAGGAAGGGGACCGTGGAACACGGAGAGGTCCTTCTTAAGGAACGGGTTTCTTCCTCAAGGAGAAACATCATCTGTGCCGATTTCTCCGATGCCTTTCTCTCTGCCCACCCCCCTCCTGCTCCCCGGCACCCCCTTGTTGAGCAGGAAGCACACGCTTGATCTCACAGTGGAGTCCTTACTCGTGTTTCCTTTGAGGACCTGATGTGGGTTTCTGACCTGTAGTCCTCGACCCCAGAGCAGCCGTAGACCCAGGTGGCAAGGACACGGAGCGCGGGTCGGGTGAGGGGGTGGCCCGAGGGCCCGGAATCCACATCCGAACTCCGCCCGGTACCAGCGTGGTAACTGGGGCAGATCGCGGGGCCTGCGCCAGCCTCGGCGGGCCCGTCCTACACGGAGCCGGGAACCACGTAAATCGTCGAGTGCAGTGCTGGGCTCGTGGGCCGTGTGCACTGAGCCGAGGTACTGCTGTTGCCGGAGTCCACGAATCCGGTGACCACGAATCCAGTGTGTTTACTGATGGCCCTGACCACCGGAAGCAAAGTTCCTGCCACCAGGATCCTTGGACCTCTTGTTCAAGGGGGAGAGAGGGATGCTACGCAAACGACTAACGAAACCAGAACATTTCTGGCGGCAATGACGTCATTGTGCCCATGAGAGTTAAACGTCCAATCTCTGGGGTGGGAAAAAAAAAAAAAGCCCTGATTTGTAGCGTTTGCCGATTTGGGGGGGTATCAATATCTCTACTGTGGGTGGTTTCAGGTTACCAAAATGGCATCAAATGGCTCATAAAATTTCTAAAAATTTTTACAAGTGGTTCTTGGAAAACCTGGCCCCAGCCTGGGATGTCAGTACATAATGGGTTCGGGAAAGACCTGAAAAGCTCTGAAAGTCAACTGTGCCCATGGAAGAGTGTTCTGGGCAGAGAGAAGGGCTGTGCAAGAGTCCTGGGGTAGGAGAGGGCCGGGTGTGCTCCAGGAACTGGAGGTTTTGGCGGGAATTTAGCGGGGCGGAGGGAGAAGTGATGGGCCAGGCGGGCGGAAGCCTTGGATTTTATTCTGAGGCCACAGGACGTCTTTGGAGAGTTGTAAGTAGGGGAGTGTCTGTGTCTGATTTGCACTTTTTTTTTTTTTAAAGGCTATTCTGTGACAGGCCAGTAAGAGACCAGTTAGGGGTAGTGGTTATCGCGCCCGGGAGAGGCATGGATGCTTGGGCTGGGGTGTCCACAGGGGGAGAGGTTGGATTCAGGTACAACTGTAGGCATGTGGCAACTTTTTTTTTTTTAATTTTTAATGTTTATTTTTGAGACAAAGAGACAGATCATGAACAGGGGAGGGACAGAGAGAGGGAGAGGGAGACACAGGATCCGAAGCAGCTCCAGGCTCCGAGCTGCCAGCACAGAGCCCGACGCGGGGCTCGAACCCACGAACTGTGAGATCATGACCTGAGCCGAAGTCGGCCGCTCAACCGACTGAGCCACCCGGGTGCCCCGGATGTGACAATTTTTTAAAAGTACATTTGTTTGTATTCATTTTGAGAGAGAGCACGCAGGAAGGGCAGAGAGAGAATGCCAAGCAGGCCTCACACTGCCCGCACAGAGCCCCTATGCGGGGCTCGAACTCACGAACCGTGAGAGCATGACCTGAGCCGAAACCAAGAGTTGATGCTTAACCACGGACCCACCCAGGCGCCCTCGGAGATGGGACAGATTTTATCTTCAAGTGTTATCATCGGGCTGTTACCACCTGAACACACCCAGGCTCCTGAAGTTTCTGCTCTTCTGTCCTGGGGAGGAGGAAGGGACTGAGACCATCAGGGATCACTATCTAGACGACCTACTTGTCTTCTCCACCTGGCGGGATGCCGTGTTGACCATCCTCCTCATCAGTCCTGGAGAGGAGATGAGGAAATCTATTTATCTTGGGTCCAAATGCAAAGAGAAACCAACAAAAACAAAATCTCTTCTCGGCTCTGACCTCCTTCCTTTGATTTGTGCGGAACAGGGCCCTGTCCCTTGGTTTGCAGGAGAGATGAGAGGCTCTGACTTGGATTTCCATCTTTGCCCTGGGGCAAGTCTTGGGTGTGTCTGAGACCTGAAAATGCGATGGGTGTTGGCCTGGCAGGTTATGAAAAAAGGTGTCATCTGGCTCTGCTCCACTCCCAGCTGTCTCCGGATTGGTGTTTAGAAGGGCAGGGAGGGCTTCACCTTTCTGGAATGGTGTTGTCCGATAGAAGTTTTCTCGGTGACGGAAATGTTCTGTATCCGTGCCGTCCATCGCCGTGGCCGCTAGCCTTCTGTGGCCACTGAGCCCTTGAAATGGGGCTAGCGTGACCGAGGAACTGACTCTTCCTTTTTACTTAATTTTTGTGTTTATTGTGGACAGCGCCATTCCAGATACGTAAGGATCTAGGATAAAGACATGTAATCCTCCATTACCCAGAAGACTTTGTTTTCTGGCAGTTGATTGCAGATCTGAGGTTCTTTTTTTTTTTTAATTATTTTTTAAAGTTTATTTTAAGAGAGAGACAGAGGAGCTGGGGAGGGGCAGAGAGAGAGAGAAAGAGGAGAGAGAGAGAGAGAGAAGGAGAGAGAGAGAGAATTCCAAGGAGGCTCTGCACTATCAGCACAGAGCTGGATGCGGGGCTCCATCTCGCAAACTGTGAGATCATGACCTGAGCCGAAATCAAGAGTCAGATGCTTAACTGACTGAGCCACCCAGGGGCCCCTGGAGAACCTACCCTGCAGAGAAGGGTGGATTTAGGGAGCTGTCACTTGTCATAGCCTGTCACAAATTGCAGAGGGAGGAGCGGTGTTTCTTCGCTGGGGAGTGGTGAGACAGCACCCCATCTTCAAATTCTCAGCCCCGTCCTCTTTTTCTCTTGTTATTATGTGTATTTACACATATTACATTTCACAAGTTTCTAGGCATTGGTTCTTCATTCGTTGTGAATCGAGTTGAGTCTTCTCTGACCACCTTCTTAACCTTTCTCCCTCCGTCCCTAGAAGTGACTATGGTGTGGTCGCCTTGGAGTGCACCCTTCCACACCTTTTTCTCTTGCCTTTACACCCATATCGATCGATAGATCAAAAAGAGGCAGCATGAAAGAAAATGAGTTGTATCATGAGATACATGTTTTACTGCAAATTGTCTTCTTTTTCGACAGTCAGTCTTAGATTTTTCGGGGTCAGTTTCACTGACCTTTACTGGTTATTATTATTATTATTATCATTATTTTTTAACTGCTATAGTATTTCATTGCCTGGACATCTTATATTACCCAGAAGCCTATTACTGTAATGAATTGCTTATTATTCCATTTGTTTCAGTCAACATTTTTGTGCATGTCTCCTGACTGCACAGCATTTCTTCTAAGATACATAATGAGAAAAGGAATTACCAGGTCATAGGGCATATTTGTTTTCATTTTCATAGCTGCTGCATCAGTACTCTTTGAAATACTTATACCAGGTTACGTTCTTGTCAGCGGCACGAGAGAGTGCCTGTGCGCCCATCCATAGTCTCTAAACACGTGATTTTATCAAATACCAACCTGCCTGCCATTCTCACAGGCAAAAAATGGTCTCCCAAGGTAATCTGCATTTTCCTGCCTACAAGTCAAATTGAACATCTTTTCCGTGCTAATGAACATTTGTTTTTCTGTGAGTTGCCTATTCAAATTCTCGCTCATTTTCCTGTTGGATGGTTTTGTCAGTTCATTCAGCAAATGTGTACTAGTAGGCCTCCTACGTGCCAAGCATGATTCTGGGTGCTAGGGACGTTGTGACAAGTAAAACGAAGAGATGTGCCTGCCCTCGGAGAGATGGTGGTCTAGTTGTAGGAGAAAGACCTAAGCAAATGGAACTGAGGAAATCTCTAATAATGTTAGATGGGATAACAAGAAGGAAAAGGAGATAGAGAAGAAGAAAGGAGACAGGATGGCCAGGAGGCTTGTCCTTTGCTTATTCGTTTGTAGGCATTCTTTATATATTCTGCGTGCTAATCCTTTGCCTGTTCCTTGTTACACACATTTTCCTCCTGTCTTTAATTTTCTTTTGACTCAGACAGTGACACTTTTGCCTTGCTCTTTTTTTTTTTTCTCAATTAAAAAACCTAACTTGCTAATTGGAATATATCCATGTAAAAGGGATAAGTTTTTTCTTCTGATCTTGCCAAGCAGCCCGTGTCAAGAGCTTTGGTTTATCTTTCCTGATTATTCTTTGTCCTCGCCCCCATGTGACACTCTCCCCACCCCCCTGCTGACAGCTGGTCACTGGCAGTTTCCAGCTGCTTCTCCATAAGCGCAGTTCTGGTCTGCTACCCCCTCATGGTGGCACAGACTCCATTTTAGAGAGGATCTCCGTAATTAATGATTTTGGCAGCCCTTCTGGGCGGTCAGCATGGCTCCTTCTAGTTCTCCGTTCTTCCGGGTGCTGGAGCAGTCAGTCCGGGCTTCCTCCTGCTGCCCAGGAGCTTCTCAGATCCCTGAGGGACGGTACCCACCGACACCCTGAATGCGAAAGGTGTGTAATAGTTTGATTTTGTTTTCTCCCGCACAGCTCCATGGCTACATGGAAAACAAGCCCCTTGGGCTTCAGATCTTCATTGGGACAGCTGACGAGCGCATCCTTAAGCCCCACGCCTTCTACCAGGTTCACCGCATCACAGGCAAAACCGTCACCACCACCAGCTACGAGAAGATTGTGGGCAACACCAAAGTCCTGGAGATCCCTCTGGAGCCAAAAAACAACATGAGGGCAACGTAAGGGCTTGGGGACCAAGGCCGGTGGGTCTTCCTGGGGGAGTGCGTGAGGCCAAGGGGCAGGGGTTTGGGAGAGAGGGCCTTCTCTGGAGTTGAGTTCGTGGAAGGAGCCGTGGGTGATGGGTCCCACTCTGTGATGGGTCCACAGAGATTTGTTTGAAAAGTTTCTATTTTATTTGAATTAAAAAAATTTTTTAAAAAATGTTTATTTTTGAGAGAGAGAGAGAGAAAGAAAGAGAGAGAGAAAACAAATGGGGGCAGCAGCAGAGAGAGAGGGAGACACAGAATCTGAAGCAGGCTCTGGGCTCTGAGCTGTCAGCACAGAGCCCGATGTGGGCCTCGAACTCAGCAACCACGAGATCATGATCTGAGCCACCCAGGCGCCCCGAAAAGTTTCTATTTTAAAAGCTCTATGTCTAACTGCTTTACATGTGTGTTGAGAGGAAGGCTACTTATGCATAGTGGGATTATGTTACTTGGGATGAGGCTAAATTGATTTACAGTTCAAAATTGATTTGTCCTAAAGAAAAATGTTAAAGATGCAGATAGATTGAAACTCACAAAGTAATAGGCATGGAGCTAAAAATCAGGAAACATTGCACCCGTGCATTGGAGTTAAAAATCAAACAAACAAACAAAAAAAACAACAACCCTTCTCTTTGTAGAAAATAACCTCCCAAACTACGAGCATTTTACAAAGAACTCCTGTCTGTTGTTCACTCCACGTTGCTGACTGTGACCACTTTCCACATTTGCTTCATCACTTCCTTTGCTCCTCGGTTTTTCCTGAACTGGTAGACACAGTGACTTTTTTACTTTTTAAGCACTCGAGCGTGAATTTCCTCAAGACTGGAACGCGTTCTTTGGTGACCACACTGCATTGATCAAATTAAAGATATTTGATGCTGACCTACCCCTCTTACCTACTGAAGAGTCTCTAATCAGTTTTGCCAGTTGCAAAGTTGAGTTTGTCAGTTACTTTTAAGAGTAGAGGAACTGGCATGAAAAGGTTCCCTGGGGAAGTAATTTCCACTGGGGTGTTTCTCGAATGACTTTGTGAGTGTTTGACCCCCATCTGGGCATCTATGTCTGGCTCAAATCTTGATCAGTGGATTGCAATCCCTCCCCTCACCCGCCACGACCTGGGGCTGGCGGTAGAATTATCTTGGGGAACTGACTAAGGTGGTTTTGTGGGTGATCCTGCCTCTTCACCAAGATGGTCAGCTCTAAATGGGGTTCTCACCCTCCTCGCAGCATTGATTGTGCGGGCATCCTGAAGCTCAGGAACGCCGACATCGAGCTGCGGAAAGGCGAGACGGACATCGGCAGGAAGAACACGCGGGTGCGGCTGGTTTTCCGGGTGCACATCCCAGAGTCCGGCGGGAGGATCGTCTCCCTGCAGACTGCATCCAACCCCATCGAGTGCTGTAAGTTGGATGCTGGGCAGCGTCGGCCTTTGCCAAGTATACTGAGCGTGACCTCCCCCCACCCCAGGCAGGGTGCTCAGCGAGAATATGCAGGACCCACAGGGGTCGACAGGGGCCCCGAGGTGACCAGAGGGCCTAGAGACTGAGCACAGAGCGCATTGAACAATTTCTCTCTGCTCCTATTTGCTTCTGGAAGGTCTTGTGGCCTCACAGGAAATTGAAAAATAATACAGCTAATGAGTAGCCTACAGCTTTGTTTAGAAGCTTCAAAAATGTATAAATGTTGTGGTCGTTAAAAGGGTAGATGCAGTTGGAGTGAGTTTACTGGACACAGTGTCCCCTTTAGCTTTCCCTCGCCTCTCCTCTCGGTGGCTCTCAGTTATTGAGCATCGACACCATGGGTCACAATGCTGAATGCTCAGCACTGAGTAGTTCCTTGAATATTACGGGGTTCTTGTGCATAGCCAGTGCTCGTTTTACAGAAGATGGGGGCGGGGGCGGGATGAGGGGCTGGCCGCCCTGTGCCAGCAGGGCTGGGATTTGGACAGGAGCTTTGGCACGTGGGACCAGGCCACCCCCCCCCCCACCCCCTGCCGTCACCCTCAGCCCATTCATGGCTATTTGCTGCTGAGAATCTGCTCACTGTCTGGTGCTGGGGCCAGGGGTCCACAGACAGGCAGGGTGCTTGCCCTGTCCCTGAGGTACTCACAGTCCCGAGGGGGGAAAAGACACCCAAACTAAAATGCAGAAGAAACTTCAGAATCTGGGATGCCGTGGCCCCAGTCTGCCGTGTGGAAGGGCTCTGAGCAGAAAGCCAACTCCGTTCTCATCAGGCTTTGAAAGAAGCTGCTTTGAGCTTATTCACGGGTTCTCGAGGCAAGTTTTGTTATTGGCTTTTACAGTTAGACCTGGCAAAGCTTATTGTCGGCTCGGTTTCTGAGAGCGTAGAAATCATCTGCCAAAGACTAAAGAAGAAAAAAGTAAACATTGTTGCAGAAACAAAAGCTGTTGATGTTATTTCTTAGTTCTTCTAAGAGTATTTTTTATATCGTTAACGGTCGTGTTCAGTATTCAGTTAGGTTTCAGGATTCTGTTTCCTTTTAACTGGACGTTTTACCATCACTGCGTATCACAAGCCTCCATTGCCTACAGCGGCCATGGAGGTCACAGGGGTGAGTGGAGGGGCTGGATAGGGACAATAGGGAGTGTCAGGGACCAGGGACCAGGAAGGCACATTCCCCACCTTTCTACAACTCCAGACAGTATTTCCATGTGGGAATGTAGACCCGAGGTGGCCAGATCCTCTGACTTTTTGAGATAAACCCCACATCTCCTGATTTTTAAAAAGCAGTAACAAATTCAGAATACTGTGTGGATCAGAGAAAATCTTGGTGTGGCTTCGACTAATCAGAGGTAGTCTTCATCAGATGGTACTGAGTCAAGGAGACGCATGAATATCTTATGCAGACAGGGTTGAGGAAGACAGGACTTTAGGATTGATTTATTTATTTAAAAATTTTTAAAAATATTTATTTATTTTTGAGAGAGAGAGAGAGAGAGAGAAAGAGTGCAAGTGGGGGAGGAGCAGAGAGAGAGAGGGAGACACAGAATCCGAAGTAGGTTCCAGGCTCCGAGCTGTCAGCACCGAGCCCGATGCGGAGCTGGAACTCATGAACCTGAGATCAGGACCTGAGCCGAAGTAGGACGCTTAATTGCCCGAACCACCCAGGTGCCCTTGGCCCTCAGGATTAAAAGCCAGTGAGGCGAGACTATGGCCCTTTTCAGGGGAGAAGCCAGACTTGGTCCTGGTTGGTCTTTGGAAAGAAGATGAAGGGGCCCTGTGATTTCTCTCAGCCATGGGAGTCACCACGTGGATCGGGCTGACCACGGGGCGGCGGGTGTCTCTGCTCTGATGTTCGAAGAGAAAGACCCAGAAGCAGCCCACAAGGGAAAACAAGTGTTGAAAAATATCTCAACGGCATTGGAGTTCCCTTTGCCACCCAGTAGACCCCACCCCTGTCCCCTGAGTGCCGGGCATGGTGGCTGCCTCGCTACGGTGTTGGTTTTGAACGTCTCGAGATGCTTTGGGAAGGAAACCCGGGCTCTTCCTCAGTACTTTGGGGGATTTTGAGAAGATAAAGTCTCCTTTTTCTGGCAGGTGACTCACCCTACAGGATGGGGCTGTGGTTTGTAGCAAGGTGGGGAGCAGGCGGCCTCAGGAGGGGCCATACGCCCGAGCCCCTTGTTCCTCTCCATCTTTGGGTCCCTCGGGGCGACATATCTCATGTTGATCTGAGAGTTTAGGGATCGCCGCCGAACCGCACGCACCTCCGGCAAGACCTTCAGGGTGTCATGAAGTCATTTGAACCTTGAACACAGGCTTTTTTCTATATTTGGCTGATTCAACTCCCTCCTTTTGGCAGAGAAGGAAACAGACTTTCTTGGTAAAGTGATTCACTCATCTTTTTACTCAGTACTTAGTAGAGCCAGAGTCTCCAGCTTTCTAGTTCTGTGAAATACCTTCTTAGGGTTTCCAGAACACTTCTGTTTCTTGCAGGACCAGACTGAACTACCAGTTGGCCACACTCTTTCTCTCCCCTAGAATCTTCTATTGTTTCTATTGCTGCCTTTGTTCTATTTTCCAAGACCAGTGCCTGGTCCTTCTATGAAAACTTATTGACTAATGGGCCTACTCTGCGATCCTTAGGGAGACATTCAATAAGTATTTGTTGACAGTTATTCGCAGCACATAGTGACACAGTACGCATACAATAAATATTAAGTGACTAGCTGACTTCATGTATACCCCCTGGGGAGGGAGAGCTGGTAAGAAAAACACTCAGTGGGCTGGTACTTAATTTGCAAGGCTACCTTACTTTGGAGGTGCTGAGTATATAATGTCTTGGGGGAATCAAGAACACGTTCTCAGATTCTAGTAAAAACGAACAAACACACACTTGAACAAACTACTGGAGGCCACACTTTGGAAAGTAGACCAATTTGCTAGAAACGTAGATTCCTTGCATTAATGCACAGGCCTGCACCCCGGAGGTCAGGCGTCACCTTGCATAGACGGCTGCTCTGTGTGTTTCTATTTCCGTGCTGTTTTTCTTTCCACTAGAGGTTCAGGATTGCCCAGGAGATACTTTTAGTTCCCTCCCTGATGTCAGCAGAGCGGATTTGGAAGCTTCTCCAACCTGCCTGGCTCTGGGTGCCACCCCCATTCCCCCTTCCCAGTCCTGACGGGTCACCGCACCTCCTGCTTCTCCGGGAACGTGGGAGAGTTCAGGAGGGAACACCCTCATCTTCCCCGATGACAGACCCACACCGTGGCCCGGAGCCCTTGAAATGGGATGGTTCTCCCTTCCTAGGGGTTCCTCTGTGTTCTCAGCGTCCACTGCCAGTTTCCGGTGGGGCTCGAGGCCTGGCCCCCCTCTCGCAGGGCTGGCATGGCCGGGAGCCAGCAACAGGGAACCTTAGACAACAGACCTCGATCTCTGCTCTCCGGGTTCTGGAGGCCAGAGCCCAGATCGGGTGACGGCCGGGTTGTTGCTCAGGGAGGCGCTGAGGGGAGAACGTTCCAGGCCCCTCTCCCAGCTCCCGGTGGCGGCCGGCAGTCTTGACACTCTAGGCTCGTGGGTCCACGACTCCATTCTCTGCCTCCTGCTCACACGACCCTGTTGTCTGAGTGTCCTTCTCTGTGTCTTAGAAGGACACTTGGGTTCGGGGCCCACGCTGATCCTGCACGATCCACACTCCACTTTTACCTTCTTTATACCTTCAGAGACCGTGTTTCCAAAGACAGTCAGGTTTGGGGTTCTGGGTGGCTGGGGCTCTGTTCAGCCCACGACCCCTCCTCTGCCGCATTTCTTGATTTCCCGGTTGCCTCTGCCCCTCAGTTCCCAATCCACTCGGCTCTTCCTCTGTCCCGTGTCGTGGCTTTTGCCCACGCTGTCCCCTCCATCCAGAACACTGGTTCTCAAACCTGGTAAATGCTGGAATCATCTGGGGAGTGATGGAAAACAGTGTGTTGCTGAATCCCACCCCAGAGATGGCAAGTCCGTTGGTCGGGGTGGGGGGGGGGGTCGTCTGTGCATGGAGAGGTTTTGGAGGTCATCTGGTGATTCTGATGTGCTGTGAAGCGTAGGATCCGCTCACCTTGCCGCCTCCGGTCCCGTGGTCCGCCCCTCCTTATCCAAGGGATCTCGGGGAGGACACACTTCCCTACCCCGCAGGGTACGGGTCCCCCCTCTGTGCTGACCACCCAGATTCCTCCTTGGTGTCTCCACGTAAGGACGGAGACCAGTGGGTGTGAGCCAGGGCCCGGCACACGGCACCTATCTCTAAAATGTTCGTTTAAGGAAAAAAAATAACGAAAAGCAGCATCTGCAGGCGGTGCGGCGGGAGAGGAAGGGGATGACGGGGCAGAAGGGCGCTGTCACGGGCGGAGGCCTTGTCCCTGGCGTATCCTTGCGGGCATCTCCCTGCCCCTCTCTGTTCATCGAGAGACACCTAAAGCGGTTTTCCCCTGAGGCCTGCTCCCTCCCAGCCCAGAGCAGGAACTCACTTTGCCCCTCGAGTAGACACTGGGGAGTGGGCGTGTGGTGTAGACCAGAAGGTAGTTTTTCTCGCATGCTCTTTTCAGCGCCTCCCTTGTGGCGACATGACTGTGTTTACGGAGCTGTAATTAAGATACAGTGAACGGGACAGACTGCGCGTCTCCAGTTCAGGGATTTTTGACAATTCAACGTACCTGCGTAACCACCGCTCAGAACGAGACGCAGGATGTCTCCCTCCCTCCCGGAAAGGCCCTCACATCCCCATCAGCCGGTGCCTCCTCCCCGGTCCCGCCCACGGGCGACCACTGCCCTGACTGCTCTCACCAGAGATTCAGCTTTGCCTGTTCTAGAACCTTGCGTAATGGCATCAGGCAAGCGTGTTCTCTTGTGTCTGGCCGGTGCTCACGGTGCTTTTGCGACCCCTTTGCTCTTATCGAGTGA